AATAATAATAATAACAATCCTTGCATTTGATTGCATTTTCACGTCTTCTAGACATCTCAAAGCGCTTCACAGGATATGCTGTAAAGTGAATTGACTGTATACTTGTGGGCAAATTAAATACTCAATAATAGCCCCGTCAAATGTTTTAATATTCTAACTTGTTAAATGTTTGTCAAGTTGTTGTAGAATATCAACGGCGAATTGGCAATACTGAATAAATTGCTGAAGCTAGCACCACTCCAGCAGATTTCCTCAAGGCAGAGGTAGTGCTTTTTTCCAGCCAACTGTCAGCTTTTAATAGGGTTTTCCGGTCCTGATCTATTTTGTAAAAGACAAAAAGTGTAGGTTTTGTGCATTTTTTAAACAATAAGCACTTCAAACAACCTTAGCGCAACTATGCATTTCTTACTTGCATGTCCATTCAAGTCTGCAATGTCAGCACAGATCTGCTTTTACAAAGCACAAAATATTTGAGGATTAATCTTCTCATTTTTTGCACTTAGTCCTCACATCCGCACTAATCTCGATTAAAAAGGTGAATAATGGCAATGTTTACACATCACTTGTACTTTTGGGTAGACTCACAAAAGCATGTATAAGTATTGTGGAATATTCCTGTACAGATTTCTATGGCTTCTTAAATAACCCAGCTGAGACGAAAGAAACATCCTTACCTGTTGAACCTCAAGTGTGAATATTGGTTAGGACTGGATTGAACATTTTCCTAGTTTGGAGTCCTGGGCACTGCATTTGACTCATGAAAAATACCAAACTACTTGTTCTTTTAGGTGAATTAGATGTTAACCCAGTTTTGCCTTTACTTGCTTAGCATCTGCTCAAATGAAACCTTAGCCTTCTTTTACCTGGCGATTTTTTTCCTATATGACTTTGAAGAATTTTCAGGCAACCTTAAAGAAATTAAGCTCCCAAAATGTCCGCGTGCTGATAGTAACTAAGCTGTAATGAAAATGAGATCTGTGTGACAGCTGAAAGCTATCCTCAGGTGTTCTTTTGTGCATGTCTCAACCCTTTTGAAAACCTATAATTTTCTAGCAGCATGCACTTTAATTGCATTTCTTAGCCTGTAATTAACCTCTGCTAATGAGTGGTTTGAAAACATTTAACGTTAATTGTGTTTAATCCACTTACAGAAAATGTGTGTTTTGCCTTGTTACCAAGTTACAAAATGGTTTCCTGTTTTGATTCACAAAAACCTTTCTCGTGTGTGTTGGAAATTCTTGCCCAAAAGGGGAAAGTGCTGCCATCAGGATCCATTCTAAGAATTGGAACCGTTTTGAAGAATTCTGACCACTTTCAATGTCCTTTTACTTTGTTCCTGTTAAAACAAAACAAACCAAAAATGCTGAAAATGTCCAGCAAGTCAATGAGCATCTGAAACAGAAAGACAGATTCTTTCCGAGGTTTATCCTCATTAGAACTGATAACCGTAGAAGGTTCATAGCTTAACTCGAGCCTCCTGACATTGTTTTCATTAATCCACTTATACTAAATCTTTATAATCCTGGGGGTGGGGAGGAAAAAGATCACCAAAATTACGGTCAAAGTGCTAAGTCTTGAGGTGGGCTTTGAAAGTGTAGAGGGAGGAGGTGAGTCAAAGGGACTTTGGGATGGAGTTCTAGAGAATGGGGAACAATGGCTGAAATCTCGCCCGCCAATGGTAGGACAGAAAGGTGTAGTGTTAATTAACACCAATATTATACAGAACAAGCCTTCTTTCAGATGTTGCTCTGAGCACTTTTTGTAAAACCAAAGCAAACATATCTTAAAAAGTTCAGACTGAAAGGATGAAGGGCTAAGACCACCACCATGGAATTCAACCCCAGAGACTTTGGATCCTAAATCTCATCTGACTGACATCCCAGGGATCTTGACGCCACAGCGTAAATAAGAGGCTTTGGGGAAGAAAATTGGAAGAACAAAATCATTTTCCTAACAAAACTTGGATGACATCTGATTTAGGTTATGGTTTCAGTAAGGTTACTCGACACAAGAAAACAACTATCTATGTAAGGATTATTTGCAATTTTAAGAAGTCTAAAGATTTTGTTCCTTTGAGAGAATGACAACAGTAATGTTTTTGGTGTTTTATCATTATTCCTTCAACAAATATTTTGAAGTGCAAAGTATTACTGTGTATCCCTGAATGCTCAATGCAGGAAAACCTCTGGTGCAATGAAAGGGATTCAATCACTGAAAGGAATTAGGAGGAATTTTTTTTCAGGGTAATGGTGAAGCTGTGATGGAAACTTGTAGAGTTTCTATCATCACTCAGTTACATAACTTATTTGTAAATTACATAAAATTGGTTCTGTATTTTGCAAGATAATGGTTTTTCATGTTTCCAGAGAAGCTTTATTTGAAAAGGTAATTAAAAATTGCTTCTAAGCACCTACTGCACTGCATATTATTTAATCTACACAGGAGAAATGGAGCCCAATAATGAATCCATGTTATACAGTGATTTAAAAAAAAGATAATTAACCTTTTGACTACTGCATTTTTAAGAGAGAATAACAACAGTAATGTTTTTGAGGTTTACTTTATCATTATTCCTTCAATGAATGTTTGAACAGCGGGTTTGGGAAGTTTTCGGGTCGCATATCACAAGCAACCTTTTTTTTTAAAAAAAAGCCCAATTTTCTTCCCTCCTCTCCTGAAGGTACTGGCTTGAGCATGAGTTTCATGGGGCCAGCAGTCTTCTTGTACCTTATGCAACTAGTCCAAATTATTCATGTGTAAACTCAGACAGTGAATGTTAGTCAGAGACTATGCAACTGTATCAGGCATCAAAGCCAAGTCATTCCTGTCCAATTTCAACACACACACCTTTCCAAACAGATGTCACTGGACAGCAATCAGGTGCAGAAATCCTTGGATGTTTTTTTTCTTCCCCTCTTCCTTAACTCAAGCCACTAATTCCAATGGTGTTTCACTGTTGTCCTGGCTAATATCAGATCACACAGAAAATCTGTATCAAAACTGGTACTTTCCTGGTTCATGTGCTTCAGTTCTGCATAATATAGTAGTGTATCTGGAGCGTTTTTACCAACTGAGCCATTGGGAAGTCTAAAACATTAATACAGTCATAATGTTGCTCCAATATCAGCTGTATATTTACTCCAATAATAACTGATATTGTGTCTATGGATTTGACTGGAGTTTTCCAAGAGTTAAATTTCCCTTTCACTCTTTAACAGAATTGACTATTCCAATATGTCAGCTGCATACCAGATGGTAGATTTTCTTACCCGATTTGATCTACTGTAACAGTAGCAATGTATAATCATCTTTTATTTTTCTTTGAAACTATAAAAAGGACCCTTGATCACAAATATGAGGCTAGTAACCTTGTTTGTTTCCTTGGATGACTGAGACTTTCAGCACTGAGCACATTTGCAAGATATTAATACTTTATTCTTTTTATGGCATTAGTAAATCACAGTATTGGCAGAACAGGGACATCACTTAGGTTCTTGTAAATACCATTTATTAAATTATTCTATATGGTTTCCGTTGATTTTGTTTGAAGTATATTCTTCAGGATGTTCCTCCAGCCTGGGCAATCTACCTTTAATCTGTGCGTAGCGAAAGATTCCTGGAGATTACCTGAAAACATAGCAGCTAGGAATATGATAGCCCTTCCTTCCCAAAGAATAAACAAATGTAATATACTGAATTTAAACCAATATCTCCTCTTCCCCTCTCCCCTTCAAGCTATGTAGCCACAAAACATCACTAAGTCTTACAAACCAGGAAGGCTGCAGAATTGAATATCGTGTTATTAGCTGATCTCATTTGATGGGGTGGCCTTGGTGCCTCTGGGTTAGAAAGAGAGGAAGAATCAGCCAGAGTTCCTGCTTCTGATCAGTATCCAGAGATCTCTGCTGGAATGTGTGTGTGTGTATCGTGACCAGACAAGAACTGGACTGTGATGTACTCTGTGATGGAGTAGCTTGTCAACATTCAAGGTCAAGGTATTAATGATGGCTGTTTGAACTAGATAGCACAGAGTGAATGGTGCCTTGGAGTTTCATGCCTTCAGATTTTGAACTGAACACTCACCCTACCATGATAATGGGCTATATCAAGTGCATGAATTATTATTCTCCCATATTCAAGCAGAGATATCAACTCTCCTTATCCTTCCCTTTCTCCCCCCACCTCCCCTCCATATTTAAGTTTTAAAAATATAATGTTAACAAAGTTACTGGATAATGTGCTTATTTTAATGCAGGATTGTTTTTCCTGTGTTAAACCCCACCAGAGGAAGATGAGCTTCATGGAAAAGAACATTCATATTCATGTTGTGGCTTTAGTATATTTATAACAGTAAAATACAAGTAAATAGTCGCTTATCTGCAGTATACAGTCACGTGCGTTACTGATATCAGAGTGTGTGAAGTTCATTGTTTTTTTTAAAAATTAGAAAATATAAAAATGAATTTAAATGTCATAGTTATTTCACTCCCTTTCAAATATGTAAAACCAATGTAACAACAACAACAACAACTTGGGTTTATACTGCGCCCTCCACGCCGGATGGCGTCTCAGAGCACTTCACAGCAACGGATCCCGGGGCCGAGCCAGGGGGAGGGGGGGAAGGCGACCAAAGACGGGGTCGAAAAGAAAGGTCTTCAGCAGAGACCTGAAAATAGGAAAAGAGGGGGCGAGGCAGAGGGGGTGAGGAAGGCAGTTCCAGAGCCTCGGGGCATAGTGGCTGAAGGCACGGCCGCCGAGGGTGGAGCGGAGGACTCGGGGAACGAGGAGGAGGCCAGACCCGGAGGAACGAAGGAACGGGTACTGTTTTGAGGAGAGAGGAGGTCAGAGAGGTCGGGGGGTGCAGAGGAATGGAGGATTTGAAGGGTGAGGATGTAAAGTATTACTGAATGTAACGTAATGTCATAAGAAACATTGGTGATCCAGTACAGCCATCTTCATTGCTGTCTTTATTAAGCAACTACTATTGTGTTCTTTTGCAGATGATGAGAAGCGCCTGGATGACCTGAGCAGTGTGTTGGTTCTGTACAAGGGTACAGTCATGCCTTACACTATATATCGGAGGAAACAAAAGAAAGCCAATGATGAGGCGGTTGTACGACAATATGCAAATCTGGTCGGACGGACATGTGCGGAGCGGATGCTCTTGTATCGAAGCTAAATGTGGGTTTTATGTTCATAACATAGAGAGAAGAAAGTAAAACTTCTGAGCATAGTATTGTACGAAGCTCCTATTTAAAAAAAAACTACAAACAAAAAAAATTACAAACTCAGGCTAACCACTTCATAAATTCCACGTGTATAAGTGGAACTCTTACATTTTGTCTACTGTATTTCTCAAAGAATTGAGTCCTCGTGTTACAATCAGAAACAGTTTGAAGAAACCTTCCTATTGTGCATTTGGTTAAATAATATGTGGACGAGGATTTTTGAAAGAGAAAATTATCATTCGAAAATTGTCGGCAACGGGCAAGTTATGCTACTTCAGGAAAAACAAACCAAAACAGCTTGTTTTCAGCACTGATGTATGATATGTAAGGAAATATGAGTCACATTCAACCTTGTTAAGCAGTGATATTCATAAGCAAAACACAAGGTGTACTCCAGTGTAAGCCCCATGCATTTGACCTCAGGAGACTGATATTTTTGACCTTTGGATACAAGTAAGACCTGGTGGCAACAGAAGCCCAAACAATCTCCCTTTAGCAGCAGTGAGAATTTGTCCCCACATATAAGGAATTATTTACATGTGCAGCATTTCAATAACACAACAAAAGTGTGCAAAAACTTACCTGTTTATGCTTGGCTTAGTTTGAATAGGAATATTACTTTGTTTGTGTGTGTGATAAAAGCATTGATTCATACTAAATGCGTTACCCGCATCTGGGTCTCTACTCAAATGATCAACCACAGAATGATTGGCTCCAGTAGTAAGTGCGCTTCTTTCACACTCAACCATAGCATCCACATAGCAAGTTATCATTGAAGCACACAGAAAGGCTTATTGATAATGTATATACAGGTTCCAACAGGAGCCGCATGGCTGAAGCAGCATCTGTTCATGCTAGAGCAGCACTTTTCCCATAGCATTCCAAAGAAAACATTGAGTTGTTATGGAGGTGGCAAAGCTCACTGCACTGTGAACCATCATTGTGAATTGGGCCCAGTCAGAGGGCAAGGACAAGGTGGGAGTCCCATGAGTATTGCCTCCTGCACGGGAGCAATATTCAGCCGAAGAGAGGCATGTGGAAAAGGCAGACCAGAAAGAGACACAAATAGAAAGGTTGTAGGCATCCTTCCACAAGCCCTCCAAAACAGTGTCAGTGTGCGTAGAGGAGGCACAGTGGGAAGCGATTGGAATCGTATTAACAGGGTTAAACAACAACATGATTGCATTTATAGAGCGCCTTTCACGTCGGGAGGACGTCCCAAGGCGCTAGACAGTTGGGTCGGGACCAGAGCAGGGAGGAAATGGTCAGGGTGAGGGGAGGGAAGGGAGGGAGCGAGGAGGGGGTAGAGAGTCGTGAGGAGAGCTGAAGGTAATAAATCCTTGGTTAAAAACCAAGGATTTAGGATACAAAATGTATGGTGATTGCATCGTCACATAATGCTCTTATTTATCTGATTTGTCAACTGTGTGAGCTATCACCAGCCATGGGTGGGGGGGTGGGGGGGGGGACACCACAGCAGTTGGCAGGAATTATGTTTTGCCTCTAGATTAACCCTTCAGCTTCTGGAAGACTCCCATCTTCGTGGGATGACCACATTTTCAGGGTCATGCCCGGTTACTGAAAATAACACTAGTACAAAAATAAAGCTATTCATACTGAAGGATAGTTACTGTAATATTAGCGCTAAGCAGCTAAAATAATCCAATGGTAAATAAAGATGAAGCATTTAAACTTTTGTTACTAATACTCGCCCTATCAACATTTCTTCACTTGTGTTTTCTCTTCTGACTTTTTTTAAAAGAACCTACTCTCTAAGCAGTACTATACGTTCTACCAGAACAAGTCAATCACTTCTTTGGTGCAGTTGGTGGGTTTGAAGGTTGAGCAACCTGTGACTCTCAATAACAAGAATGTGAAGCGAGAATCTGAACCATTGCACTTGCTTCTGTACATTTACAAAACAAATCTGTGATGAATATAGTGTTTTCTTAGGTGCCAGCTAGGCTCAGTCAATATTACTGTAGCCTCTGGGTCAGAAGGTTGTGCGTTCTAGCCTCACACTGGGACTTGAGCTCATTCTCTAGGGCAGACATATTCAGCCACGGAGGCCAGACAAGAGGATAACGAATAACAGGACCCAGTAGGCTGGTTCCCTGTTTTTTTATAAAAATCCCGCCACTGACATCAGTTCCTGTGAACATGGCAACTGCCGACTTCACTTCCACCCACGCAAATTACCAGTGAAGCGCTTTGAGATGATCTGATGATATTAGCGTAATATCAAATGCAAAGATTATTTATTTGTTATGATAGGCATTTTAATCGCGCGCTGAAACTAACTGAGAAATCCTCACACTCATTTCAGTGGCGTATTGGTACATTACACTGCTGCAACAAACCTGGGCAATTATAATAATAATAATGTAATAATCCTTGCATTTGCCTTATCACATCAGCTGGACGTCTCAAAGTGCTTCACAGAATACACTGTAAAATAAATTGACTATGCCTTGTGGGCCAAACGCAGCAGCCAATTGCTAAGTTTGAAATAATGTTCAGAACTTGTGTGGCTATGTTATAAGTGAATGATGCAATCCTGTATAACTGTTTACAATCCTGGGTAATCTCAAATCTTACCAAAGGTTTGTGTAATATCATCAAATCCCTCAACATACTGACGTGTTGCACAGTATTCAAATAGACACGGTTTCAAATGATGTCATTGCTGTTCCAAAGCAATCCAACAACGGGTTTGTTTCCATGAATATCTGAGAGGCTCAACATTTATTTTCTCCAGCCCCAGAGGAATAATATTTGTGAATATTAGAAAAAGAAATTTAAATTCAAAAGAGAACAATCCAACTCTTTATTTACATACAGTGATCCTATAAGTTTCCTTACTCCACACGCCTAATAATAATCCCTTCAAAAAACCAAAAACAATAATTAAATTGGTCATTTTCAATTACGACTGTTTGTGGGACATTGCTGTGCGCAATTGGCTGCCGTGTTCGCCCACAAATATACAGTCAATTCACTTTACAGTGTGTTCTGTGAAGCGCTTTGGAACGTCCTCCCGACGTGAAAAGCGCTATATCAAATGCAAGGATTATTATTATTATTATTATTATAATCCCTTGATGCCTCTATTGTCAGCATTTTTTTTCTAGAAAACAAAATGTTGAGGTTTCTCCCACTGAGACAGAGGAGCAGTCTCTATGCTCTCAGGTGGTCCATATGGATGTGGTTTTCACAAATAACCAGCTGGCTAGATACAAGTACTTTCGCAGGATACTCTGCAGCGTTCAAGGTTTTCAAAGTAAAAACTCAAGTCAATATTGGGCCTGAGAGTCAGAAACTCACAAATGCCCTGCCCCATCTGCTCTCCTCTCCTCTCCTCTGCTCGTACTTCTTAAATGGTAGGCCTGTTGTTCTGCTTCACACTTCTTGAGTTTGATGTTTCTAAGTAAACAAAGGTTAAAAGGCAATACACATCATTCATTTGTGGTACATGTTGTTCCATTACTGAGTCTTGGGCAGTTTTAACGCTTGTACAAGTGCCTCTCACAAACTGTGAGCCACCTTATCAGATTTATTTCATTAGACACAAAATATGCAAGGTCCTGTACCTAAACCTGGCATTATCTTACTGTGCTTCAAGCAAAATATATACTGATTGTTGACACTTCTATCCAAATGAATTATCTTTGTACTGTACTTTTGACGTTAAGTTGATCTGATTGTGAATGGTAATTGTAAATTGGAGTAATATCAGTCTATATGATTGTCAGTGTTTTGCATTTGGCATTATTCATTACTTGCTGTTATTCATCTGAATGTGAAAGTAATGCATTGTTATTGCACCAGTCGTCTCTCATTTTTCATTTAGCGCTCTTTAGAACATTCGTGATTGTACGAGATTGTCAGTGTTTGAAAGTAATGTGGAGTTGGATCACTTAAGTGTGACATCCAATAACGGATTATTAAAAGCTTACACCTCTGACAGCAGTCTGTGGTCAATGTGCTTTCGTCAAATCACAAAGGTCACTGGTGAAACTGGCCTCATAAACAACGATATTTGCTTGGATGGGTTCAGTTGGTTCTTGTGCAGGCTGCATACAAGCCATCTCAAGGGAGTGGAGAGGATAAATACATTCATATCGACTAGTTTGTTCTGTTTGAATTATATCTGCTTGGTGATCTAATCACCGAGCACCACTGACTGTAATCCTGGAGACAATCTGCGAACCAGATTTGTTGCAACTTCCTCATTGAGGAGACGTGCTGAGCGACATTTTGTGTTGAATGGGGAAAGGAAAACTGAAAATGAGGGGGAGGTTTCTTTTGCATAAGATTCTTAAACACATTTTAGTTTATTTTCTTCCATTTGTTCTTTCGCTTTTGGTTGTCGTCTCGCAAAATGATAGGGAAAATCGCAAAAGGATTTCTTTCTGCGAATAGCAGCCTCTAAATCTCTCCTTTGGTGTCCATTTCGTTCGCATTTACACAGTCTCCATTTTGATCTGTGTGACTTTTTTGGGTGTCTGACACACGTACAACCCCATCATCTTGCTTAAGAGTATCCAAACCAAGCTGAGATTATCCTACCCACCTACACGTGGAAATCTGCATCACCAGTTACGCATCTTATAAAACTATTCAAATTTAATAGACTCAAATTCTGGTTCCCAAATCTGTATTACTATAGGAATATTTCCTATATCCTCTTTGTGACTTCTTCTGGTGTTTTTTTTGTTGGATTACAAGCGAATAATTCCCAAGCTTCCAAAGGACGAGGTGCCAGTGCTTTCAGGAGTTGAACAGCTTTGTATAAATCAGTATCATTGTTGAGCTATCTCCTGTCACACACCTAAAACCCAATTTATACTCTTTCTTCTCAAGTTGCAGCTTCAGTGTCAACTGAGTATACACCTCCTCAGCACTGCTACTCCTTATTGCAGCAGTACCCAAAGTCACTGAATTTAGAGACAGATGTTCAGGATATATGATTATTAATGTTGTTGCTTTCCCTCCTGTTGGATGAATTTTCACCTTCTATTTTTTTAATGGAATAGTCGGCACTGATGAAGCTGCTACTTTCAATCCATTACGTCTCACCAGACACCACCAGATCACGCAAACGCCAAGTAAAACCAATGATCAAGCTGGCAAAGGGCCGGTCTGAACCAAAGGCAGGAATCTCAATTGAAGAATTTGACCTTAAAGTCAACTGTCTTGTCCTTAAAATCAACCTTTCAAATTCTCAACCTGCTGTCCTCCTTGTCCACTTTCGATTGATTAATTCCTTCTGCTTTCCACATTGATGAAGCCCAATTAAAATCAGTCAATAGTTTAATCAGAGCTTGGAGTCCTGTAGTTTTGTGGTTGGGAATGTCTCCAAAGTACAGAGATGGAATGAGAAACTTGTTCCCCTAGTTAACAAAAGGCTGGTAAAATCAAATGTCGATTTCCTGTTAAATAAATATGATTACATTTAGTTTTTGCTTTTCTGATTTTTCTTTTCCCAGCTGTGAATAAGTGATTTTTTTTCATTTAATCCCATTTGAAGTTGATCCAGCGAATTGCGTAGAGCAAGTGCTGAATGCAGAATGCCGAGTGTTCAGGGCAATTCTGCTGAATAGCAGAAAATTTCACAAATTTGCACAATTTTATACGGTCACATTATTCAAATTGTTTTTTTTTTAGAATGATTTCTCTCTTTCTTAGATATTGTGCTCACTGTCAGCACAGTGAAGCCTCTAAAATAAACACCTTGATGCTGACACTGTCTTTTTAAAAGTAAATCATAGCTTGCTTGGGAAGCACTGCACTGTCAGAGGTGATATCCTTCGGAAGAGACGTTATACAAGGTCCTGCCTGACTGATCCGGGGAATGTTAAAGATCCCGTGACAGGAGTCCTGGAGCTCAGTGGTTAGAGCAAAGCGACCTGAGTTCAATTCCAGGCAGAGCGAAACCTTGGGCAAGTTTCCTTACTCCACACAGAGCCTAATAATAATCCCTCCCAAACCAAAAACAATAATAATAAATTGGTCATTTTCAATCTATGACTGTTTGTGGGGACGCTGCTGTGCGCAAATGGCTGCCGCGTTCGCCCACAATCAATTCACAGTCAATTCACTTTACAGTGTGTTCTGTGAAGCGCTTTGGGACGTCCTCCCGACGTGGAAAGCGCTATATCAAATGCAAGGATTATTATTATTATTTGAACAAAGAAGGGAGTTT